AGGTCAGCCTGTCCTGAGATGGGCGGAGCCAAGCACAGCTCAGCCCAGGTTGGGGTGGGGTTAGGAGTGCTGGCAGGTCCCTTCAGCACAGGTGGTAGCAGTTGGGGCAGAGTCCCCATCCTGCACTCTCCCCTGAGCCTCCGTCATGCGGTGTGGGGTGCAGGCCCCTCCCAGGGCCCCCCTGGCTCTGTGCTGAATCTGGGTGGGCTCCTCCCTGCTGTGCCCCCACAGTGCCCACTGCCCGCCAGTCCCCGCGGCTGGGAAGGGCTTGGTGCTGGCCCAGCTACCCCGTCCCAGAACCTGCCGGGCCCCGGCCCACCTCGCCCTGGGACCCCAGAGCTCCACGGCAGTCTCCTGCTCTCTACCTCCCTCCTCCAGCCCCCCCAACCCCACCCGGGGCGCACAGGGTCCTGGACTGGTGTGGGTCCCCTCCTGTGACCTCCTGCTCTGCAGGGCTGACCACAAGCTAGAAAGAGGGAAGCCCCACAGCCAGGCAGGTCCGTGGGGGCCGCCGGCAGCCCCAGCTCGGACAGCCTGCCCCTCGAGTCTTGTCCAGTGAGTCAAGCTCAGGAATGTCTCCTGGGCTGTGACTCCCATGGGACCCACCTGTCCCTCCACGCCCGTGTGGGACTCGTTATGCCCTTTTTCTAAGAACACGTGGAGGTGGAGGACAGGCAAGGCTTCTGGCTCAGGCTGTGCTGGACTCTGCCCTCCGGGCTCTGAACTTACGATCAGCAGGCACCTGGCAGGGGGGAGACCCAGGCTCGCCCGCTCGGCCCCTAGAGCCTACACAGACCCTTGGGCCTGAGCTCAGAGCGCCCAGCCGTCCCCAGGACCGCAGGCTGCCTGCACTGTCCCTCACACATCCCTGTGTGTGCAGATCCTGGGGACGGCCCGGCAGGGGCCCTGGCGCTCCCCACGGCCTCCCGTTGACACCTGCTCTGAGCTAACACACGGAGCTGGTCCTGGGCCTGAGAGTCCAGGGGAGGCCCCGTGTGGGAGCTGGAAGGCCCCTCTGCTTCCAGAGGCTCTCAAGGCCCCTCCGCAAACCCCATGGAGGGCGGGGAGCTGACGCCCCTCCTGCCTCCCCCCCACCTCAGGTACAACTGCCTGCTCCTGGTGGACTCAGTGGCATCCCTGGGTGGGGTCCCCATCCACATGGACCAGCAAGGTAAGAGTGTGCCCCACACACCAGCCAACCAGTGGGCTCTGAGGGGGCGGAAGGCCCTCGCTGGAAAGGTTTCGTCCGCCCAGCCTGCCAGATGGAGGCACGTCTCCACAGGAGCCCTCGCTGGGACAGGACAGGCTCCAGGAGCTAATCAGCACCCAGCGTTTCTGCTGGGCTGCAGGCACGGATGTGGGTGGTAGGCGGG